ATTCTGGTGAGAGAATGAGGGTGTAGCACAGTGTCAGTAGCCGTGGAACCACTGACTTCAGAGATGGAAGCTGCCAGGCGAGCGAGACAACGAGAATCCGTTAGGGCGTCCCCTTCCAGAAAGTCCCGATACTCATTCTCCTTAACAACTGTACAACTACTATGCTTCAATCGAGTGCCTGTTTTCTCGGGTATGCTACCACGACAATGATCTGACAAACCTACGCTAGCAAGGCGGGTGTCAACAAAATTAACATAATCTGATTGAAGGTTGAACTCGTGGCCCTGTCGATACATGCTACACAAGGGTATGACGTGGTCTTTGATACTTATGTTCCAACGATGGGGAAACAATGCAATATTTTCATCAATCATGGTGTACAGACCTAAGAGAATGTCTCCAGGAAAATGAATAATGTCAACAACTAAACATGTTATAGACAATGTGACATCATTGAACTTGAGTGGGAGGTCAATTTCACCCTGAACTTTTACTTTATTTCCTGAAATACCACTTAGAAAAGGTATGTGTGACTGTTTTAAAATAGTAGGGTGCATACTTTCAATGTCTCTAAGAGCTGAGGGCTTGACAATATTAATTTTTGCACCTGAGTCAAGAAAAACTTTTAAAACTCTACCATGTACAATGGCTGATACAAGGGGACCATCACTTGAGACTGGACAAGTTACTATTTTTGACTTATGTTGTCTGGGATATCTGCGTCTTGTTTGTGTCAAATTTACTGTGGATCCGTCAACATCTACAACTGGTCTAGAGTCAGTGTCCTCCTCTGTCAAGTGTCCAAATCTATTTTGGGTAGCTACTGAATACACAGGGAGGGCACTAGGATTGGCTAGCTTGAATTGGTTAGCGGATGGCCTTGGGGGTTTCCCGACGACATGGAGTGAACATTCTGAGCTCCAGCATTCTGTGACTGAGCATTATAATTTGAAGTTGCATTATAGCTGGGCTGGGAGTTGTAATTACGAGAGTTCTGATAATGTCTTGGACGCTGTGAGCCTCGCCAAGACTGACCATGGGAGTTACGAGGTGGAGATGTCCTTTGCCTAGCTCTACAATCCGCAGTGTGGTGACCAACTTGTTTATGGTACGTGCAATATGGAAGCCTAGAATGATTAGATTGATGAGGGGGCCGAGAGAATTGTCTAGGAGGTGATGATCTAGGGGCGGACCAACAGTCCCTTGCAAGGTGGTTACTCTTACCACAATGCCAACATGAGGGAGTGGATGGTTGTGGACTATGGCGTTTCGGCATTTTATGAGGCGGCGAATTTGACTGGGGGCTACGAGCATGGGTACGCTTCTGCGACCAAGAGTTTTGAGAATTTGTGGGAGGATGCTGAGAACTTGTAACTACATTTACAGCATCAGAGGGTGGCAACAGTTGAGCACTTCGGGGAGCTAGTTTATCGGCGGCATTGTTAATAGCCTCAAACACTTCACCAATTTCATGTTTAACACCAAAATTTTGTTGCTCAACGATTGGTTTTGTATGCTCGGGGGCAAAATGCATTAAAGTACCAAATGCTATCATTTTGGCCATAGCCTCAGGGGACAGATTATTGTCTTTATCTAACCAAGTTGAATTATTCATAGCAGAAACTAAGGCATACAGATACTGATCGAGACGGCTAGTAAACGCATTAAACGATTCACCAGGCTGCATGGTGGCATTGGCAATTTTCTTGACTAACCTATATGGGTCAAGGTCTCCTTTATTAACAAAGCGACGGCGAAAGAAATCCTTAAATTCAGGCCAAGACTGGAGGCTAACAATGGCTTTCTCATCAACAACAAAACGTGCATCACCTTTGGTTGTGTCCACGGCTGACCGTGCAATTGCTAAGTATTCGGCATCAGTAGGCTTAGAAAAACGTGCAACTGTTTTCGCTTCAACCTTACTAAACCATGATTCTAATAAACGCGATTCCCCAGCAAAAAGAGGAATAGCCATTTCCTGAGCTGATCTCTGGCCATTGGGACGAGCAACTGTTCCCATTGATTCTGAAGGGGTTTCAACAGTGGTAGGCATTGTCACAGCCGTGGAAGTAATATTTGAACGCAGATTATAATTAAGTGCACCTGGCATCAGAAATAGTATACACAAAAATAAACACAAAAAATATCAACTTGGCTAAAGTAAAAATGGCAGAAATAAAATTATTAAATTGGGCTAGGCAAGAAAATAATCAAGAACAAGCAATTGTAAACTAAATTTAGCAATCTTTCATTAAAAAAATGACTGGAATTAGATGTATGTAAATTAATTAAACCAGACTAAGCACAGCAATTTAGAATAAAAACTGGGAAATGCAATTGCAAAATTTCATTAAAAAGATTCAACACAACAAGTGGCAATGCAAGAAATATGGATGTAGCACATAAACTGGACACAGGAATGTATATAACTCCTATGGTAAAAGTTTAAAATAAAATGCTTAAAGGATAAATTTCAAGTTAGGTCTGGAGAAATTAAAAAAAATTATATTGCACAAATCCTTAACTGCTACTAAAACAAGGATTTCTTAATTCACTGGAATTTGAATTTACCAATAACACTCTAGGAGAACAATTAAAATTCAATGAAATTACTGTAAGAAGCAGGAATGTTGAAATCACACAGGAAAACTGTGGGGAGTGCAGTACTGAACCAGCTCCAATATTTAACAAGTCACTGAATGGTTAATTCACAGGATATTATGGGAATTATTACATAAGTCACTTTTTAACACTTGGCACGTTGTTCTCAACTAGCAATTACTTATCTCAGGGTTGTAATTTATGAGGATCACCAGTAGCCAAAGTAGGAGAAGCGTCGTGAAGATCTGAAGAGGCCCATGTGAGGCGTGTTTACAAACTGGATGCGACGGCAGCGCTCCTGGCGGCGGTGGCGCGAGACTCAGGGACCCCACACTGTTCAGGCTAGAGGCACGAAGATAAATTCTGACGACGACAATATTGCGACGATGGAATAACCAGTTGATACTTGCGACGATGGCTGACGACGATTGCAGTAGCTTGCACCCTCACGAAGCTTGATACTGTCAGCTTGGGTGGCGGTGGTGGTGGTGGTGGGTGTAATAGGTGGTTCCCACGTGGTGGCGCGAGGTTCAAAAATGGCTGGCGCGGGAAGCTTCCTTCCTCCTCACTGATGAGTGAGCGTTCTCACAGGAAAATATTGACCCTTACTTCTAAAACGTTAGCCTGGAGTAGTGGTTGATGGCAGGACCCCGGTCTGGCACAATATTTGATGCGTGGGTGGCAGGATGGCGGCTTATGGCGGTGGCGGTGGCGGCGGTTTTGGCTGGAACACGAGGCGATGCTGGGTACTGGAACTTTTGCTTCCAGAAAAAAATTTCTGGATCCCACTGCTGCTACCAGTATTCGTTTGCCTTGTTCGGGTTGAATGTAGACACAGTAGTCGCTTCTGTATATATTTATTGAGTGAGGCAAACAGGTGTATAACTGGCCAGCCGAGGTCCACCTACTCTGGGTCTGTGAGGATAACTGAGGCTGCTGGGAGCATGCTTGATGCTCCTCTGTCTGGCATGACGTCAGAGGCCTACTTGCCTGTGATTGGTTACATTTCAACTGACAGAATTTGAGTATAACAGGTTGTGAATAGACGAGTGTGACTAAATATAGACCATAGAACTAGTGTGTGGAGAGTCAAGTATTGTTGGGAGTGGATGATAATAACGTATATTCTTGAACATGGATGAGTGTAAATGGGGCCAGTGTCGACCCGTGTTGAAACACTCATGTATATTGGGATGGAAGGGGGGGGGGGTTGTTTCAGATGGGATTGCTATGGATGGGGCTAGTGGTGGCGGGTATGTGGATGGGGCTAGTGGTGGCGGGTATGTGGATGGGGCTAGTGGTGGCGGGTATGTGGATGGGGCTAGTGGTGGCGGGTATGTGGATAGGGCTAGTGGTGGCGGGTATGTGGATGGGGCTAGTGGTGGCGGGTATGTGGATGGGGCTAGTGGTGGCGGGTATGTGGATGGGGCTAGTGGTGGCGGGTATGTGGATGGGGCTAGTGGTGGCGGGTATGTGGATGGGGCTAGTGGTGACGGGTATGTGGATGGGGCTAGTGGTGGCGGGTATGTGGATGGGACTAGTGGTGGCGGGTATGTGGATGGGGCTAGTGGTGGCGGGTATGTGGATGGGACTAGTGGTGGCGGGTATGTGGATGGGGCTAGTGGTGGCGGCTATGTGGATGGGACTAGTGGTGGCGGGTATGTGGATGGGACTAGTGGTGACGGGTATGTGGATGGGGCTAGTGGTGGCGGGTATGTGGATGGGGCTAGTGGTGGCGGGTATGTGGATGGGACTAGTGGTGGCGGGTATGTGGATGGGGCTAGTGGTGGCGGGTATGTGGATGGGGCTAGTGGTGGCGGGTATGTGGATGGGGCTAGTGGTGGCGGGTTTGTGGATGGGGCTAGTGGTGGCGGGTATGCGTGCATGACCTAGTGTAGATGAGGCTACAGAAAGCGACTGTGGATGGGACTAGGGAGGGTAGGTGTAAAAGGGCTAGTGTAGGTTTGTGTAGAGATATAAGTGGATGAAAGGAGTGTGGGCTTTTGTAGTCAAGGTAGAGTAGATGAGTACGGATTATTTAGTGTTGGTGGAAATTGTATGGCCATTCGTGGATAGAGTGAGCGAGGATGAGCTAGTGAGTGGGTGTGGATGAGCTAGTGAGTGGGTGTGGATGAGTTTATGGATCAACGGGAATAGAATAGGTTGCAATAGGCAATGCTAAATATCCATTAATTCACCCATGTGTTATGAAACACAATAAAACTTCAGTTCATGAAATCATGAGAGTAACTACACCCCACTTAACTACTAGCTACAAAACTGTTACACATTTAGTGTTCGTTCTAACGCATAAACGTTATGAAAACCTCTCCAAGTGAAACAAAGTGTTGCATATTCCGTAGTCTCGTGTCTTAATGCGATGGTAAACCGTCTCACAGGCCGGAAAAGAGGTTCAGAAGTTGATGGAACACATCAACAGTGCTCGTCCCGTCGTCCACCACCGCTGCCTGCCGCTCTTCGCCGCCTTCCTCCACCACAAGACGCATCACGGGACGTCCGTCGAGAAGTGAGTGTACACTCACACTGGTGCTCTCACGCGGCGTTCTGGGTGTGGTGTTGGGGCTGGGTCAACTGCTGGAGGGATCATAATTCAATATTTTTTTCTCCCTTCATATTTACGCTACGATGCTGAGACTTGTATATGAAAAGGGTTTCATCTGCTCCAACTCGTCAAAAATGTTTGATTGAAATCGAACCAGTTTTCTTTTTTGGCATATTTCAATTTTTAAAGTTAAATTTTGCCCCGAGGGGCGACTTTATTGGGCAGCGCCACTCATCTTGTGAGTGGACATACCGCCATAGCAGCATCTATTGCCCCCTTAAATAAGGCTGGCATGATAGCCTTACTAACCCTCAACCAGTAACTTTACTTTAGTCTTGAGCTTAATTCATGGGGCAGGACTAATGTTTACTCAGAGTATATGTACTGAGCGGCAGAAATCATCTCTCGTTGAATATATATTAGTCATTATACTCACATTAACTTGTGTGGGTATCTATTCTGCACTTGCTAAACAGTTTAACTAGCTTGAATTATTCAGCTTAAGTCTTCGTGTAAGATTTGTGTATGATATTGTCTTCTCTTCACAGTTCACTCGAGCAAATATACACTGAGAAACTGTGTATCAATTAATAAGTGAATATATATATATATATTATATATATATATATATATATATATATATATATATATATATATATATATATATATATATATATATATATATATATATATATATATATAAATATAAATATATATATATATATATATATATATATATATATATATATATATTATTAAATATGACCGAAAAAGTAAGATTAATAATTCTAACACGAATTTTCTCAATCTTTCGTACATTACGCTTCACTGTTGGAGGTAAATCAAAAATCAATTCTCCAAAATTCATTTTTATTTCTAGTCTGACGCGACACGGGCGCGTTTCGTAAAACTTATTACATTTTCAAAGACTTTAGTTCACAAATACACAACTGATTAGAACTTACGTATCTCCAATTTTATATCTACATTTGAGTGAGGTGGGAGGGGTGATGTGGCATTAACACAAGACAGAACAAGAGGGGATATTAATAGGGTATTAAAAGTATCAACACAAGACAGAACACAAACAATGGGTATTGAATAGAAGTGTTTGTAGAAAGCCTATTGGTCCATATTTCTTGATGCTTCTATATTGGAGCGGAGTCTTGAGGTGGGTAGAATATAGTTGTGCAATAATTGGCTGTTGATTGCTGGTGTTGACTTCTTGATGTGTAGTGCCTCGCAAACGTCAAGCCGCCTGCTATCGCTGTATCTATCGATGATTTCTGTGTTGTTTACTAGGATTTCTCTGGCGATGGTTTGGTTGTGGGAAGAGATTATATGTTCCTTAATGGAGCCCTGTTGCTTATGCATCGTTAAACGCCTAGAAAGAGATGTTGTTGTCTTGCCTATATACTGGTTTTTTTGGAGCTTACAGTCCCCAAGTGGGCATTTGAAGGCATAGACGACGTTAGTCTCTTTTAAAGCGTTCTGCTTTGTGTCTGGAGAGTTTCTCATGAGTAGGCTGGCCGTTTTTCTGGTTTTATAGTAAATCGTCAGTTGTATCCTCTGATTTTTGTCTGTAGGGATAACGTTTCTATTAACAATATCTTTCAGGACCCTTTCCTCCGTTTTATGAGCTGTGGAAAAGAAGTTCCTGTAAAATAGTCTAATAGGGGGTATAGGTGTTGTGTTAGTTGTCTCTTCAGAGGTTGCATGGCTTTTCACTTTCCTTCTTATGATGTCTTCGATGAAACCATTGGAGAAGCCGTTATTGACTAGGACCTGCCTTACCCTACAGAGTTCTTCGTCGACTTGCTTCCATTCTGAGCTGTGGCTGAGAGCACGGTCGACATATGCGTTAACAACACTCCTCTTGTACCTGTCAGGGCAGTCACTGTTGGCATTTAGGCACATTCCTATGTTTGTTTCCTTAGTGTAGACTGCAGTGTGGAAACCTCCGCCCTTTTCCATGACTGTTACATCTAGAAAGGGCAGCTTCCCATCCTTTTCCATCTCGTAAGTGAAACGCAGCACGGAACTCTGCTCAAATGCCTCCTTCAGCTCCTGCAGATGTCTGACATCAGGTACCTGTGTAAAAATGTCGTCAACATACCTGCAGTATATGGCCGGTTTCAAGTTCATGTCGACTAAGACTTTTTGCTCGATGGTACCCATGTAGAAGTTTGCAAAAATGACACCTAGGGGAGAACCCATGGCGACCCCATCTACTTGCTTATACATGTGCCCATCCGGGCTCAAGAAGGGTGCCTCTTTAGTACAAGCTTGGAGTAGTTTCCTCAGAATATTTTCTGGCATGTCAAGAGGAGTACAGGCTGGATCACGATACACTCTGTCGGCTATCATTCCGATTGTCTCGTCCACAGGTACGTTGGTAAACAGCGATTCTACGTCCAACGAGGCTCTTATCCCTGTCGCCCGTGTGCCCCCCAGTAAGTCAACAAATTCCTTTGGAGACCTCAGGCTGAAGGCGCAAGGAACATAAGGAGTCAGCAGGCCGTTGAGTCGCTTCGCCAGTCTGTACGTGGGTGTGGGTATCTGGCTAATGATTGGCCGAAGTGGGTTTCCAGGCTTGTGCGTCTTGACATTTCCATACGCATATCCAGGTTTATATTCCCCAATGATCTTTGGCAGGTGGAGTCTGGATCGAAACTGTGAACGCCAAGAAATCCGAGAATAAACAACACAGAAATCATCGATAGATACAGCGATAGCAGGCGGCTTGACGTTTGCGAGGCACTACACATCAAGAAGTCAACACCAGCAATCAACAGCCAATTATTGCACAACTATATTCTACCCACCTCAAGACTCCGCTCCAATATAGAAGCATCAAGAAATATGGACCAATAGGCTTTCTACAAACACTTCTATTCAATACCCATTGTTTGTGTTCTGTCTTGTGTTGATACTTTTAATACCCTATTAATATCCCCTCTTGTTCTGTCTTGTGTTAATGCTACATCACCCCTCCCACCTCACTCAAATGTAGATATAAAATTGGAGATACGTAAGTTCTAATCAGTTGTGTATTTGTGAACTAAAGTCTTTGAAAATGTAATAAGTTTTACGAAACGCGCCCGTGTCGCGTCAGACTAGAAATAAAAATGAATTTTGGAGAATTGATTTTTGATTTACCTCCAAAGGTGAAGCGTAATGTACGAAAGATTGAGAAAATTCGTGTTAGAATTATTAATCTTACTTTTTCGGTCATATTTAATAATATATGTCTACAGGAAAGACTGCTACCAAAATATACTAATATATATATATATATATATATATATATATATATATATATGTCGTACCTAGTAGCCAGAACGCACTTCTCAGCCTACTATGCAAGGCCAGATTTGCCTAATAAGCCAAGTTTTCATGAATTAATGTTTTTTTAGACTACCTAACCTACCTAACCTAACCTAACCTACCTTTCTCGGCTACCTAACCCAACCTAACCTATAAAGATAGGTTAGGTTAGGTTAGGTAGGGTTGGTTAGGTTCGGTCATATATCTACGTTAATTTTAACTCCAATAAAAAAAATGACCTCATACATAATGAAATGGGTAGCTTTATCATTTCATCAGAAAAAAATTAGAAAAAATATATTAATTCAGGAAACTTGTCTTATTAGGCAAATCGGGCCTTGAATAGTAGGCCAAAAAGTGAGTTCTGGCTACTAGGTACGACATATATATATATATATATATATATATATATATATATATATATATATATATATATGTCGTACCTAGTAGCCAGAACTCACTTCTCAGCCTACTATTCAAGGCCCGATTTGCCTAATAAGCCAAGTTTTCCTGAATTAATATATTTACTATATTTTTTTTCTTATGAAATGATAAAGCTACCCTTTTCTCTATGTATGAGGTCAATTTATTTTTATTGGAGTTAAAATTAACGTAGATATATGACCGAACCTAACCAACCCTACTTGTAACGGGGGGTGGGGGAAATAGCTCTATCTTGTCCATTATTCCACCCCCCAGTTAACTAACGAGGCCGGGGGAAACAGCTCTCTCTAGTCCGTTATCCCGTCCCCAGTTAGCTAACTATTCTAGAGCACCCTCCAGAGTTCCTAAGGCAACCTCTCTCGTTCAACACCTTGTAACCTAGGTATTTGACTACCTAGGTGCTAAGACTACAAGGCGCCGTAACTTGATCAGCTACCCGAAACTCTAGAGAGAACTCTAGAATACAGAATCATTGCCACAAACGTATAAGAGAAAACGAAAGGAAAGAAATGAATAGTGAAGTAATTAGTGAGGGTTTGGGGTAAGAGGTAGGGAGGTGGGAGGAGCGAGGAGGGTCATTAGTTGAAAGTGAGAGTTTAGAGAGGGGTGGAGGGAGAGGTGTAGATAGGTAGAAGTAGAAGAGTAGATAGTAGAAGTAGAAGAGTAGATAGTAGAAGACGAAATGCTGCCACCATCCATTCATGATCATTACATACAAGACAAGGAATGGAACTTGCCTGTATCACAAAATTCTCAAAGGATGTTATCATGAGTTCATTATTAGTATGTTCCCTCTGTACCATGTATCAACTCCAAACATGTACTCATTTATATCATGAACCCAGTAACCACTGAGGCTTTCTCAAATCCTCAACTCAAAGCTCTAGGGCACAAAGTTAAACACAATTTAAATAATAAATTCATAATTATATTTCACATGAAGTATCATAATATAAGCAATCCAATTAAAATGTTAAAGAGAGTCATCATCCAAGAATTCGAGAACCCTACAACTTGACTGCCCCTGATCATCACACAACACTTGTAAACACGACCAAGTCACCTTAATGTTCACTCACCGAGGACTGAGTCTAAGTTGAATAGAGAGAGGGGGGGGGGGGGGGGTCTGTAGTTGACGGAGACTCCCGCCCTGCCGGCCGACAGCCTCCCGTCTGCTCTGCTCTCCTGACTGCCGTTCTGTCTGTTAATGCTCTCATGCTGGATAGCTCTCCGAGTTTATATTGGGGAACCTAGTAGCTAACTCCGCCCACAAGTAGATAGCCTCCGGCACTACCAAGCCACTCCTTAAACGTCGGCATGTTTGAAGGCTACCCGGCTCCAATTATACGCTTAGCGGAAGCAAGGTGAAATTATCATGATCTGACCTCAGGTCACTTGGGGTCATTAACGGTTAGAGGTGTGAGATCTCAGGCAGACAACTGGCGCCTCTCAGATCCTTGTCTGTGACTCGTGTACTCTATATATATTTTAATAAACTAACCCAAACACTTTTACAGTGTTACATCTCCCCTTCTCCCCGAAAATAAAGTTTTTGCAACACTGCTAAAGCAAGCTAGCTGTGTGCGACAACTTTATTAACGAAAAGAATACATCCTAGCTAAACAAATATACATCATCCTACTCTAAAAAATGAAATATGTAGACAGACGTCCATTGTCTCTGGCTGGGCGACGTCACTGCTTGGTCTTGTAGATAGTCCTGTACCACATTTCTTCAACACAACTGCCTCCGTCGCTTCTCCGTCGTTAACGCACAACAACCCTTGGTCAACCCGAAAGCCGTTACTACTTGAACTGCGCACAGGACCGTGGAATTCGGTTGTCCCAGCTGATCTGTAATTGGCCCTACGTCAGTCACCATGAGAGACGTATATTGGGGTTCTTCACAGCTATAGGGACTACAAGTTTCGAGACCTTCATATAGTTGCCAACAGTAGAAATCCCATCCTACTCTTCTTCCTCCCTGTTGCTCCAGCACGCCTCCTTCAGAGAGCTACTTCTGACAGCCACATCAAGTCCGCATGACACAGGAAGAATCACTCAACAGAGCAACATGCTTGCAGGAGGGGCGGCCAGTTAAGGCAAACGATCCTGTCTTGCAATTACGCTCCATGCAATGATGCTGATACCAGCAAGGGACACGAGGCATCGTGTCTCACTCAGCTTGTCTTATCTTCTTTCTTTCTTCTTCTTCTTCTCTCTTCCTTCTTCTCTCTTCTTTCTTCTCTCTTCTTTCTTCTCTTCTTCTCTCTTCTTCTCTCTTCTTTTCTTCTCTCTTCCTCCTCCCCATGGGTCTTTGACAAGCGACCTGGGGTCCATTGGGGTCTGTCCGTCCTGGGGTCCATCCTGGGTAGACCGATGTTGGTGGGACAGACTGGAGTCGTTGTTGCTCCTCTTCCATCTTTACTGGGTCGTCTGGGGTCGTCTGCAGAACGACCTGGGGTCCACTGGGGTCCGTCCGTCTTGGGGTCCGCTGGGGTCCGTCCGTCCTGGGGTCCACTGGGTAGACCAATGTTGACCGACCGAGAGGGCTGCATCTTGGGGTCCCCTGGGGTGGTGGTGGTGGTGGAGCCATGACCTCCAGGTAGTGGGCTGGTCGTGGTGGTGGTGATAAACGCCCGTGAGTATGGTACACAGCAGCCGTCTCCCTCTTCTGTATGTGCGTCTCTCCTCTCTTCTGGCTCCCACCTGTGGGTGAACAGAAAGGCGACAATACCCGTGTTCCATCTTGTTGTGTGACCCTGTAGTTTGTATAGGGTTCACACAGTCCAATTATAAGCTCTCCTCCTGGCAACAACTACACTTAAATTTTTTTTTTTAATAATCCAATTAACTCTGAATGATATTGACTTGGTGGAACATAAAACAGTAACAGAGTAAAGTTAGAGAAGAGAGAATAAGGTCATCACTACTTTTAACTTGTCACACAAAAAAAAATCAACACTAATAGACAAAACACTAGCCTAAACTTAACTGTACCGTTCCTAATCTTAAGTACATAATTAACCGTTACTCCCACCCTTAACCTACAGCCACCTACGTGACCCAGAGTGTCTCCCTAGCATCTCCGCCGGTCAACAACTCCAAACTGTTGCCACCCCTGTGACCAGACTATCTAACGTCGAGCGTCCCCAACGTGAAGTCTACTGACATACTAAGGCTCCCCCTAGCATGCTGTACAATACCAGTACACCTCGGGTTATTGCGTTCAAATGGAGTAAAACAGTCGATCGCAATAATCTGAGCAGAACCACTAAAAACTACTTAAAATCTATTTACTACACCTGCCACTCCCCACTGACCTGGAGACCAGCGGTGGCTGGGTGTCCCCGTGGGACATGCGAGGTCACCTGTCACACTCAGCTGACCTGCACTACCAACACCGCTAAGTTCCAAAATCGCCAAATCTTATCACTAACATAAATCACTACACACGCAAGTTCTGGTGAACATTCCCTGAACTTCACAAAACTCACAAAATCACTAAACACAACACCAGAGAATCACAATCTCCTAACCTGAAAAAAGCTCGCTAAATCGCGAAAGTAAAACACCTGTCAAGATCTCCCTGATAGCGCCTGAGCGGCAAAAAGACACGTGGGACTGAACAATGTTAAAAGAACACCAACTACCTACAACATTGTTCAACACCGCTGCCATCATTGTAACGGGGGGTGGGGGAAATAGCTCTATCTTGTCCATTATTCCACCCCCCAGTTAACTAACGAGGCCGGGGGAAACAGCTCTCTCTAGTCCGTTATCCCGTCCCCAGTTAGCTAACTATTCTAGATCACCCTCCAGAGTTCCTAAGGCAACCTCTCTCGTTCAACACCTTGTAACCTAGGTATTGGAATACCTAGGTTCCAAGACTACAAGGCGCCAAAACTTGATCAGTTACCCGAAACTCTAGAGAGAGCTCTAGAATACATAATCACTGCCACAAACGTATAAGAGATAACGAAAGGAAAGAAATGAATAGTGAAGTAATTAGTGAGGGTTTGGGGTGAGAGGTAGAGAGGTGGGAGGAGCGAGGAGGGTCATTAGTTGAAAGTGAGAGTTTAGAGAGGGGTGGAGGGAGAGGTGTAGATAGGTAGAAGTAGAAGAGTAGATAGTAGAAGTAGAAGAGTAGATAGTAGAAGACGAAATGCTGCCACCATCCATTCATGATCATTACATACAAGACAAGGAATGGAACTTGCCTGTATCACAAAATTCTCAAAAGATGTTATCATGAGTTCATTATTAGTATGTTCCCTCTGTACCATGTATCAACTCCAAACATGTACTCATTTATATCATGAACCCAGTAACCACTGAGGCTTTCTCAAATCCTCAACTCAAAGCTCTAGGGCACAAAGTTAAACACAATTTAAATAATAAATTCATAATTATATTTCACATGAAGTATCATAATATAAGCAATCCAATTCAAATGTTAAAGAGAGTCATCATCCAAGAATTCGAGAACCCTACAACTTGACTGCCCCTGATCGTCACACAACACTTGTAAAACACGACCAAGTCACCTTAATGTTCACTCACCGAGGACTGAGTCTAAGTTGAATAGAGAGGGGGGGGGGGGGGTCTGTAGTTGACGGAGACTCCCGCCCTGCCGGCCGACAGCCTCCCGTCTGCTCTGCTCTCCTGACTGCCGTTCTGTCTGTTCTGCTGTTCTGTCTGTCAATGCTTCATGCTGGATAGCTCTCCGAGTTTATATTGGGGAACCTAGTAGCTAACTCCGCCCACAAGTAGATAGCCTCCGGCACTACCAAGCCACTCCTTAAACGTCGGCATGTTTGAAGGCTACCCGGCTCCAATTATACGCTTAGCGGAAGCAAGGTGAAATTATCATGATCTGACCTCAGGTCACTTGGGGTCATTAACGGTTAGAGGTGTGAGATCTCAGGCAGACAACTGGCGCCTCTCAGATCCTTGTCTGTGACTCATGTACTCTATGTATATATTAAATAAACTAACCCAAACACTTTTACAGTGTTACAGGTGAATATATATATGTACAATATGATGGAAGCTTAAGATCTAAAGTTTGGTTTAACCCCAACTTTTGTTTCCAGAGCCGTGTATGAGGGCATGGACTTGGTGGCTCTGGTGGACCGCCTCCTACGTAAGAGACCCGCCGCTTTCTTGGGGAGAAACGACCAGTACCTCCTTCGCGACAAGTCTCGAGGTCAAGGAGGCTTTGAGAAAATCGGCTCAGATCAAGAAACGCAACCACTGTGCCTCAAGGACTACCTCAGCTATGATGAAATGAAGCTTTCTGCTCTGATCTCTGTGTCCTCGTCTTCCTTCTTTGTCAACAATGGATGCCGCACGAACAAGGGCGTTCCGGGCAGTGCTGGTAGTTTCCAGGAGGAGGGAGTTATAGTGGGGATGGTGGGCGCCAGGCTGAGAAAGAAGGGATATATGGAGTGGCAGGACTGTATTGTGACTAAGGCACAGAACACTCAACACAACGGTTATGGGAGCGTAGATCGTCCGTCGCTGCTTCAGCATCTGTGGGCTGTCATGTGGGGGTCGACGCTGCCCAAGTGGGACGACGTTTCAAGTCAAGACCAGGACTATATACAGGTTAACAAGCAGAGCTACCTCAACACGGCAGTATACAAGGCGCGCATACAGATAACCGCCGAAACTCTGCTGGCCGAGGCCAAGTGTCGAGCCATATCATCCGGATTGAAGGCGTACATTCACGTGGTCGGCCTCGGGCTGGGAGTGTGGCGAGCGTGTGAGCAGCAAGACAAGCTCTTCGTCGAGGCTTGGGGCTCTGCTCTCCAAGGTGGCGACACATCACATGTCGCTCACGTCGATTTCAGTTGGATTGGCGCCAAAGAGTGTGGAGGTGCGGGAGACGGGGAGGTGTTTCCTGGCACGAGCGTCACAATACACTTCTCTAAGCGTTCGCTGCACGACCCGGTGCCCCCGGGGACCATCTTAGTGGTCAGCTACGCCTGGGACGGAAACTCGCTGCCTGGAAATGAGTTCTGGATCGGGAAATTGGCCAGCACTGGAGACAGCGCCGCCGCGTGTTCGTCTGGCGTGGCCGAGCTGCACAACGCCCACATCAACGCCAACGTCTGTGGCGCCAACCTGCACGTGGCCGGGCCCTGGGGCGTGATGCACGTGGCAGAAGTTGCCAGCCGGCTCCGCTGAAACGTCACAACGTGATAATGTACATGGATGAGGCTGCCTGATGCTTCCGTTGACGTGTACTTCTTCGTTAGGTCAGGTACTTAACCATGGTCGCGAGCGCCCCCATGGCCAACATACCACGTTATTAAACACACACTGGAGGTGAGAGCTGGTAAGAGGCAGTAACAAGGAAAGGTCAAAGGTGAACTAAGAAGTGCTTCTGCTCAAGTCGAGTCAGTCGACCTCTCACTCTCGTTGTTAATATACTAATGTTAACTTGTTAATGTTAACAAGGTACTTTCTCCTCTAATTATTTTGTTATTATACTTTCTTCTGTCTTTCGACGAATGCTTGTTAATACACGATCTATAATTCATTAAAGCAAATAACTCAACACGTCAAAGAAATACAATTTACGAAATAGATTTAGAAATAGGGTAATAAATTTGTATTTGATTATGACCAACAAAACATATAAAAATATAAAAAATAAAACAAACTTATTTCCCCTGTAAAAGTTACGAAAAATAAAATTAAATAAAATTCCCCACACATGTATCTGTGCCACAAATCCAAACGGACGAGAGTTCAAAATTGTTGGGTCATTCTTGGCAAGAATTCAAAACACACAGGAAATTCCAATGGGTCCTTTCAGCATTTACAACGTCAATTCGGATGGAATTTGAGGTTGTGAAACACACATCTTTGTCCCTAGAGACTGTGGGAAGGGGGATAGGGGAGGAGGGGTTACATCTCTAGCCCTCTGAAGATTTCCAAAAGTGACAAAATGCTGGAACTCTGTTATGAATTATCCTCAAACCGAGATAGACAGCAAAGTCTTCATAAAATTTCTTGCGGACGCTGTGATTGCCTCACTATCGTTGCTAATATTTTATTGATGTGTTTTGTTTTCATTCGTCGTATTGCATATTTAGCGAGGATACGTTTTATTACGTTTTACTAAATATTTATATATGGCTACTTGTTTGCCGTTTCCGGTGGGGTCACGTGATATATCGCCGGGCTAAACAGGTTTTGGTCAGACCTTCGACACATCCGGTGTAGGGATGCACGACTTGCGTCAGACGTAAGTGGGAACACCCAACAATAACGCCAGGTACAGTCCGGTACACCCAACATTAACAGACCTTCCATACAGCAACACAAGAAACAGACCTCTGCAACACAGCAACACAAGAGACAGACATCTGCAACACAGCAACACAAGAGACAGACCTCTGCAACACAGCAACACAAGAGACAGACCTCTGCAACACAACAACACAAGAGACAGACCTCTGCAACACAACAACACAAGAGACAGACCTCTGCAACACAGCAACACAAGAGACAGACCTCTGCAACACAGCAACACAAGAGACAGACCTCTGCAACACAGCAACACAAGAGACAGACATCTGCAACACAACAACACAAGAGACAGACATCTGCAACACAACAACACAAGAGACAGACCTCTGCAACACAGCAACACAAGAGACAGACCTCTGCAACACAGCAACACAAGAGACAGACCTCTGCAACACAACAACACAAGAGACAGACCTCTGCAACACAACAACACAAGAGACAGACCTCTGCAACACAACACATCACGGACAACAAACATCAATGAGAACGACACCAACAAACCAAGGATGAGAATGAGATATGTCTCAGTATCCAGAGTTTACACAGATAAACAAACCCGTGAGAATTTCTGCCGATGAGAACACAATATAAACACATACTCGTTCAACCCAGAAACATTTGACATCACAAAACGCACCAAAATGTTTACCAGATGGAAGGGTGTTGAGGCTATTTTATTGTGTCGATATGGAAGCCATTTTAATTAACCAAAAAGGTCAGATTTGTTGAGTTATTTTGCAAAATGAAGGTAAACATTTATGCAAAGTTTTAGGTCGGTTTGCGTGGCATCCCATTTTCTATTTAGCTAATCAAACAATAACGTTGGTCAAGGCGACCAGGACTGCAGCTAATATCTTCCAGCCGTACGTGACCTCTGCTGTGGCTCACCGGAGTCAGAAGTGGTCAGTCATGCTTGTACCATATCCGAGGTACAGCTTCGAGGTACTGCTTCGAGGTACAGCTTCGAGGTACAGCTTCGAGGTACAGCCCCGAGGTACTGTTTTTATCCATCAGGGTAAGATAATGTTGCACAAGGCCTCCTCCCACCGTGTGTACACAGCGCTTCACACTTGTGTCTACATAGCGCGTCCTCACACTTGTATGTACAGAACATTACTTACTGCTAGGTGTACACAACACCACCTCCCACAAGGTGTACACAACACCACCTCCCACAAGGTGTACACAACACCACCTCCCACAAGGTGTACACAACACCACCTCCCACAAGGTGTACACAACACCACCTCCCACTAGGTGTACACAACACCACCTCCCACAAGGTGTACACAACACCACCTCCCACAAGGTGTACACAACACCACCTCCCACTAGGTGTACACAACACCACCTCCCACAAGGTGTGCACAGTACACACAGTAGGCCCTTGGGTTACACATAACGGTGAAGGACTTCATCTGCACCTCACTAACTCCAGTATCATGCTAACTCAAAGATTAGTAGTCAGCATCACGTTAATATCTCATGCGTCAGTACAAGTTTTTTCAAGATTGCCAACGCACATATCTTATTAATTCAAACAAGACAAGGAATATAATAAACAAGACGACATATTTTATGACAATACCATGTCCGTAAACACTGATATGCTCTCAGGTAGATAAAGAGGAATATGCTGCAACCTGGCTCTCTGTCTGGTGTCTACTTATCTACTAACAAGTAGTTTGTCGCATCAGGAGACTAAGATGTTGCTATAATTATGTAGTATTGTTTGTCTTGCACGCCTCAAGGGTGATACAAGCGCAGACGGCCATGAAACGTAACATCTGAATAATGATTTCCCGAGGCGACGAGCCTCATACAGCTGTTGTCGCTGCCGGAGGTAGTGACGGAGGCCAATACTTGTATATCAGCGTCAGTACTTTGTATATCAGCGTCAGTACTTGTATATCAGCGTCAATACTTGTATATCAGCGTCAATACTTGTATATCAGCGTCAATACTTGTATATCAGCGTCAATACTTTGTATATCAGCGTCAATACTTGTATATCAGCGTCAATACTTTGTATATCAGCGTCAATACTTGTATATCAGCGTCAATACTTGTATATCAGCGTCAATACTTGTATATCAGCGTCAATACTTGTATATCAGCGTCAGTACTTTGTATATCAGCGTCAATACTTGTATATCAGCGTCAATACTTGTATATCAGCGTCAATACTTGTATATCAGCGTCAATACTTGTATATCAGCGTCAGCACTTTGTATATCAGCGTCAGTACTTTGTATATCAGCGTCAATACTTTGTATATCAGCGTCAGTACTTGTATATCAGCGTCAATACTTGTATATCAGCGTCAATACTTATATATCAGCGTCAGTACTTTGTATATCAGCGTCAGTACTTTGTATATCAGCGTCAATACTTGTATATCAGCGTCAATACTTGTATATCAGCGTCAATACTTGTATATCAGCGTCAATACTTGTATATCAGCGTCAGTACTTTGTATATCAGCGTCAATACTTGTATATCAGCGTCAATACTTGTATATCAGCGTCAATACTTGTATATCAGCGTCAATACTTGTATATCAGCGTCAATACTTGTATATCAGCGTCAATACTTGTATATCAGCGTCAATACTTGTATATCAGCGTCAATACTTGTATATCAGCGTCAATACTTGTATATCAGCGTCAATACTTGTATATCAGCGTCAGTACTTTGTATATCAGCGTCAATACTTATATATCAGCGTCAGCACTTTGTATATCAGCGTCAATACTTTGTATATCAGCGTCAATACTTTGTATATCAGCGTCAATACTTATATATCAGCGTCATTAAGAACATAGACCGCCCTGCTACAGCGCATCCTCAGAGAACAGTACTCCTGAGCAGTAAGACCGGACCGCCAAAAGTATATAGTTTAAAGTTATACAATAATGTTTTTCAAGGTTAAAATCGATGTGGTGGGTGTGGGGGTCCCACCCTTTGCCTCCCCCGCGCCACAAAGGAACGCACCTTAATTCTTTATTCTTTATCCCTCGTTATAATGTCTTCGTGTCGTTCGTCAGCCGCGGGGACACCGACAGACAGCTTATACTAGAACTTCGGTTCCATTAATTGTTACTTGAAGATAATTGTATGAATATGGCTGTTCACAGTTACATAGGAAAACAAAAAGAAATTCCTCTAACCAGGAACCTATCCTGCGCATTAGCCTCTGCGCAACGCTTGCCGCGCTAGGCTGACTTCCACTTTCACTGCACCTACAAGTTTTTTGTTTCGCGAAATTAATTACACCTGTAAATGACCACAACATCCGTATGTGTTTAAATGATGAATTAGACCTTCACACTTACAACACGCTTGACGGAACACACCAAAAAGAAAAAGTCACAATATGTCGCTTAAAATCCCGTTGGGCACCTGCCAGGTGGAGGCGACGCTGCCCACAGGTGGCTGCGACAGGTAGACAGTAAACAACACTACCTCGTCACTGGATATACTTCGCATCTAATTACTCCCCGATGGTGAGTTACTGAGACATTGCCAGTCGCTGAGGAAGACCTTCGACCACACTTTGCTCTCGTCCAGTTGGCCAGTTCTAGTGTAAACGGCGGGGGGAAAAATTTGATTCTGAGCCTGGAGGGAAAAGTGGACCAGTGAGGGACGCAGGTCATACGCCCCGGACGCACAGGTGTTCAGTGAATATCAATAGCTCGCACGAAGTGCATTCACATCGGCAGGTGTTGCAACAGTTCCCTACCTGTATGGCTAACGAGTCTTGCAGATTCCTTGTGCATTATGGTCACACAACACGCTAGGCAACAAGCAACAGGCGCTCATGTAACTGCCTGGCTTTCAAATACTTGAAAATTAGGGCGCAAACGAGGCACAAACGTTCCCGAGGGGGATCATTTTCGCTAGGATAAGCGGGATAAAACTCACATGAGTGTCGGATGTGTACAGTTGTTGAGGCGGGTGTTGCGGACTGCAGGCGCGGCCAGCAGCAAGAGACAGTCGCCTTGCGCTACACCCTTCGTGTTTACGAATATAGATCTCCAGGGTTTTCTTGATACTATGCTCGGCAAGCTCTCTTTAACGCAAGTAATGTGACGATACTGTGTGTGTGGACGACCTCTGGTGGATGACCAGGGCAGGTAACAGTAGCAGTGTTAATATTACGTTTTATCCAGTTTGGAATGTCAAAGTTTAACGGCTCTCATTATCATATATTTGATCGGTAAGCTTCGGGCGCTAAATTTTAAACTGCAGCTTGTGTGGAGGAGACCAGACCGGCGTCGAGGAGCTCATCGTGAGGAAAGGGCCCGAGAATAGTGTTCAGGTCTGAAAATGTGACACGCATTGACACTAAACAAGTTTGCAACCATTTGTTGAAAGTAACATAAATTGACGTTAGAGCAGAGTTGACTGGTGAGGAAAGTGTGAGAAGTGCTGAGGAAATTGTGAACACTGTCAGGACAAAGCAGCAGTGAAGCTACACACTGAAACTTTATCCCCCCTTTTGCTGAGGTGAAAAGTGGCGCCGCTCTGCAAGCCAGCAGGCAACCTCAAGGTGACGGTAAGGACACCTGCAGACACACTTACACTTAAGTGTGTCTGCAGGTGTTAAGTTTAGCGTCAAGTTTAACTCTAGTGAACAATAATAACGTTACTTCCCAAGGGGATATGGCCGTTTTTCATATATATGAATTCATATAAATGAATGATTTTATGATTAATAACCGTTATGGAAGCGTATACCTGTACCTGCGTCAACGTTGTGTACGCCATGACGCAAGGACTGCGTCACGGACTATTTAAAAGGTGGTTGCAGTGTATAGGTTGTAACTTGAGTATTTTAAATTATAAAGCGCTCGCCTGATTTGTGGTTTGTGTATACATTGTATACAAGCCTGAGGGACACTGCGCTAGTTTGGTAGTCAACGGTGATGCTTGAGAAGAGCAGTGATAGTTATTCGTGTATTGATGTAATACACCGCACCATGGGACCTCTCTGTATGTCACATCGTCGTGTATACGCTATTGTTCAACGCGTCCTCCTAATAGAACGTCGCATTTTGATGTATATTCTACCCCCCAAGGCTACAAATGTATACTCTACCCCCCCCCCCCAAGGCTAAAAATCGTCGTACTAGAAAATGGAAGCGGTTAGCGAAATTGACATACTAGCTGTCCCGTTTTCTGTTTTGGGTCCTCTGGTTAGGATAAGTTCACTTTAATACGACAGTTTCTAGACGTTGGGAAACCATAGGAGGACGGGACGTATTGTCACAGTAACCACCAGCCTTTGACGTGGGCTTGGTGCATTTAGGTTAAGCACGATTGAGTCCTGCCAGTATCTGGATGAGTGACCGCGTCGACGTCCATGCCTTTGGTTTGGGGGACTTTAATAAGCCAAAAAGTCATATTGCGTTCAGCGACAAAAGTCTACCAGATTATTCGATTCTTGAGTTATGCCTCAAGGAGCGCTGCACGTTTTCTAACTAGAGAACGTGTAATTTTAATGTATTTGTGACTGGCAGCGTTGCAGAGACGCTGCCAGAGTCGGTGTCCACCAGCAACATGGCCAGTCACTTGCAACATTTATAATGCTCATTTGTTATCTGTTAACCACTGATATGGTTCGAGATTCCGGTAGTTCAGTTGGATTCGTACTCGCCTCTCAATCGAGAATTCCGGGTTCGAATCCCCGTGTGTGTGTGTGTGTGTGTGTATTCACCTAGTTGTGGTTGCGGTGGTTGAGCTCTACACTTTCGGCCCGCCTCTCAACTTTCAATCAACTGTTACTACTATTTTTTTTCACACGCAACACACCTTCTCCCAACCAACACCAGGAAGCTGCCCGTAACAGCTGTCTAACTCCCAGGTACCTATTTACTACTAGGTAACAAGGGCATCAGGGTGAAAGAAACTCTGCCTATTTGTCTCCGCCTAGTCCGGGAATTGAACCCGGGCCACAGGATTACGAGTCCCGCCTCACCCCGCCTCGCCCCGCCCGTTCCACTCAGAGACCTGAGTGACACATCCTGATGGACCGGATGTGTCACGTGATACATATTATCCAGTATCCGCTGTGACCTCAGAATGTCACAGTGGACACCTCTGAATGACGCTAATGCATTATACATCTGTCGACGATGAATGGTGAGTAATCCGGTGAGTCAAGGTCAATACTCGTGCCCTGAATTGAGAGGTGAATACAAATTGGATAATTCACCTAATGCAGTGATGAAAATGATGGATAATAATCTATAATGATCATGATGATGAATTAGCCTGAATTAAAGACAAAACTCTATATGGTTACCATGACAACAGACCGAGAGACTCATCAGTTACTCAGAAGACCTTATGGACCATCAGACAGACAGACGTTTAATCCCCAGACAAGACGTTTTAACACGGGCATAAGATGGTCTTCAAGCTGGAGGCTGGTGAGTGCTTCCCTCCAGGCTCACTCATACTCATGAGTGTGTACTCATGAGTATGTGATGAGTGTGTGTGTTCTGTCGAGATGATGTAGATTTTAGATTGGTATATTGGCCTAGATCTTTAGGATGTCCATCTTGTTAGTGGATGTCCACCATCTTGGGATGTCCACCATCTTGTTAGTGGATGTCCACCATCTTGTTATCCACCATCTTGAGTGGATGTCCACCATCTTGTTAGTGGATGTCCACCATCTTGTTAGTGGATGTCCACCATCTTGTTAATGGATGTCCACCATCTTGTTAGTGGATGTCCACCATCTTGTTAGTGGATGTCCACCATCTTGTTAGTGGATGTCCACCATCTTGTTAGTGGATGTCCACCATCTTGTTAGTGGATGTCCACCATCTTGTTAGTGGATGTCCACCATCTTGTTAGTGGATGTCCACCATCTTGCTAGTGGATACTGACGTCACCAAGAGTGTGCCTGTGGTGTCCGTGGTGTAGAGGAGTGACGTGTTGTGTGTCCGCAGGTCGGGGCGAGCAGGAAGTCGTGAGTCGTCTCCACTATGGCGTGTTCCCTGAAAAATATCGTCAACTGCGGCCTCGTTCTCGCTGTCTTCGACTTGGTGAGTGGGGGTCAAAGGTCAAGGTATGGTCATCTCGGTCAAAGGTTACTTGAAACATGTGTTGACCAAGGTCAGAGGTCAGTATGTGTTGACCTAGGTCAGAGGTCAGTATGTGTTGACCAAGGTCAGAGGTCAGGGCGTGTTGACCTAGGTCAGAGGTCAGCATGTGTTGACCTGGGTTAAAATACATTGACAAGTCATGTTTTTGGTTTCATAAGAGGTTTAAGGTCCTTCCGCCTTATGTCATTACGGCCATAACTGCCTTATTGAGCAGCTTGTTAGCAAACTTTTAAATATATATATATATATATATATATATATATATATATATATATATATATATATATATACCATGACAACAGACCGAGAGAAGCATCAGTTAATCAGAAGACCTTATGGACCATCAGACAGACGTTTAATCCCCAGACAAGACGTTTTAACACGGGCATAAGATGGTCTTCAAGCTGGAGGCTGGTGAGTGCTTCCCTCCAGGCTCACTCATACTCATGAGTGTGTACTCATGAGTATGTGATGAGTGTGTGTGTGTGTTCTGTTGAGATGATGTAGATTTTAGAGATTGGTATATTGGCCTAGGCTGATCTGAATAACTTAACTTCTTAATGGATGTCCACCATCTTGTTAGTGGATGTCCACCATCTTGTTAGTGGATCACAATGATCATCATCATCATCATCATCATCATCATCAATGATCGTCTCATCAGACGATCATTGGTGCGGTGGTCACGGTACTGTGTACGTTTATGGGTGATCCTGGACGGCATGGGTTCGAATCCTGGCCGGGTCAAAGAGTTCTTAGTGATATATATATATATATATATATATATATATATATATATATATATATATATATATATATATATATATATATATATATATATATATATATATATATATATATATGCAGAATAACCACATATGAAAAATAGAAAATGCTTAACGCGTTTTCGGCTAATTCGCCTTCATCAGAGCAAAGTAGAATCAAAGTAGAGTTGATTCTACTTTGCTCTGATGAAGGCGAATTAGCCGAAAACGCGTTAAGCATTTTCTATTTTTCATATGTGGTTATTCTGCATACTTGGATCAGTGTTTTTGTGATCATTGTTGCATATATATATATATATATATATATATATATATATATATATATATATATATATATATATATATATATATATATATATATATATATATATATAACCCCATGAAGTAGAATACAACCCCTTGGAGTATATAACGTAGAGATATAAAAGTAATATATAGCTGTGTCCCTTGTTAAATATGTGAGTGTTGTGTTTACACCTGTTTAACACCTGTTTACAGCTGCACGGGCTGGCCACGACGGCGTTCTATTCCTACCAGTTCGCATCCCACTACAACTGTCATTGGAACCATGGCATTCGCTGGTGCCAGTATTATCTTCACGAAACAAGTGAGTACCGTGTGTGTGTGTGTGTGTGTGTGTGTGTGTGTGTGTGTGTGTGTGTGTGGTGTGTGTGTGTAATTGCCTAAGAGTAGTTACAGGATAAGAGCTACGCTCGTGGTGTCCCGTCTTCCCAGTACTCTTAGTCAAACTAGGCTTTGAAACTACTGGTGTGCGTGCGTGTGTCAGCATATGTGCGTCTGCCTGTGTGTGTGTGTGTGTGTGTGTGTGTGTGTGTGTGTGTGTGTGTGTGTGTGTGTGTGTGTGTGTGTGTGTGTGTGTGTGCGTGCGCGCGCTCGCGCGTGTAACTCCAGCATGTAGAACCCCATTTAAAGATTGGAAAGGAAATATGTAATAGATACATTTTCCACAAAGCTGGATCCGGAGTAGAGATACGAAGAAAGGTTAAAGACACTTCACCCTACGACACCGGATAAAAGGAAAGATCGAGGGGGACATGCTCACGACATGTTGGATACTCGAAGCCAACTCTGCTGACCGTATACAAAGCAGGTATAAAGAAGGAAAAAGAGGTTCGGGATACAATGAATTAATTGACCCGTTAGAGAGGAACACACGCAAGAGCTAAGTGCTGGGACCCGATTCTCTAAGTCGAGTTCTGAGAGTACTGCTACAGTATGACCCAGCACTGTGATGACCCGGCACTATGATGACCCAGCACTATGGTGACCCCAGCACTATGATGACCCCAGCACTATGATGGCTCCGGCACTATGATGACCCAGCACTATGGTGACCCGGCACTATGATGACCCAGCACTATGGTGACCCAGCACTATGATGACCCAGCACTATGGTGACCCAGCACTATGATGACCCCAGCACTATGATGACCCCAGCACTATGATGGCCCCGGCACTATGATGACCCAGCACTATGGTGACCCGGCACTATGATGACCCAGCACTATGGTGACCCAGCACTATGATGACCCAGCACTATGGTGACCCAGCACTATGATGACCCAGCACTATGGTGACCCAGCACTATGATGACCCAGCACTATGGTGACCCAGCACTATGATGACCCAGCACTATGGTGACCCAGCACTATGATGACCCAGCACTATGGTGACCCAGCACTATGATGACCCAGCACTATGGTGACCCAGCACTATGGTGACCCAGCACTATGATGACCCAGCACTTTAATGACCCAGCACTATGGTGACCCAGCACTATGATGACCCAGCACTATGGTGACCCAGCACTATGGTGACCCAGCACTATGATGACCCAGCACTTTAATGATCCAGCACTGTGATAACCCGGCACTATGATGACCCCAGCACTATGATGACCCCAGCACTGTGATGACCACCTTAAAGGACAACTGACAATGCTATACTGTACAAAAAACACCTAAAGTATAAATGTTAAAATTTTATCAATTATATACAGTGTATTATTTTGTTAAATGATAATAACTTTGTTGTATTGTTCCAATTAATAGGATTATGTCTGATAACTAAGATGATCCAGCACTATTATTATATTATTATTTATTTATTATTATATTCATTATTTATTATTATATTCATTATTATTTATTATATTTATTATTATTTTTCATATTTTATTATTCTCGCAGATCACAGCCTGAGAGTTAACTTGGGTATTGGTGAAGGTATTGTGTGTCTCGTCGTCTCCTGTCTGTTGATGGTCGCCTTGTGTAAGGTAAGTCACTCCACCTCACTCGTGAGGTTACTATATGACGCTCTTATGGGCAAGAGATAGGGAGAGGAAGGTGTGTTTGGGGCTGGGTGGGTGTACTCACCTGTGCTTGCTGGGTTGAGCCTCGGATCTTTGGCAGCCTATCTGTTGACAACCTCTCAGCTGTGAATCAACTGGTGTACAGATTCCTGAGCCTACTGGGCTCTTATCATATCTACAGATGAA